CGACATCCTTCCAAAAATGTAAATCATCTCAGACATAATGGTATCAAGAACATTTTAAACAAGTTTCAACTTGGTTTCAAGTAGATCATACCTGTTTAACCATCGACAAGGTAAATCCCCAACTTTGTCCAAATTCGGCGCCATTTTGTCATCCCATGTCGGTTGTCAACAATTCGGCCTTGTTACTCTTCCATTCACGCCATATCCATTGCACAAATAACAAATTTAACCCTTTGTTAAGGGTATTAAAATAAAAATACAAATGAAATATGCGAAATGCAGCATTTTATCACCCGGTAAAATGTTGCTTACGAGTCCTTCGAAACATTTCGTACAAATCTCGCGTAGCAAAGTAACAGGGACGTGACAGGGGGGTAGAGACTTGAAAAATGAAGCAAAGCCCACACAGTATCGTAAAACCATTAAACCAACAATCAGCATTTAATTTGTATGACTTGTTCATATTAATAAATAATAATATGTATATATTTGTCGCTACAAGAAATAAAACAAACGTTTGTATGATTTTCTTTAGCTTTTAGTCTATTTCACGCAGCCTTCTTCTATCTTCGTGAAATAATTCACCCCCCCCCCTGTCACGTCCCTGTTACTTTGTCACGCGATATTTGTACGGAATGTTTTGAAAGACTCGTGAGCAAGATCTTACAGGGTGATAAAATGCTGCATTTCGCATATTTCATATGTATTTTTATTTTAATACCCTTAACAAAGGGTTAAATTTGTTATTTGTGCAATGGATATGGCGTGAATGGAAGAGTAACAAGGCCGAATTGTTGACAACCGACATGGGATGACAAAATGGCGCCGAATTTGGACAAAGTTGGGGATTTACCTTGTCAATGGTTAAACAGGTATGATCTACTTGAAACCAAGTTGAAACTTGTTTAAAATGTTCTTGATACCATTATGTCTGAGATGGTTTACATTTTTTGTAGGATGTCGACGAGATCGCTGATAAACAGCGGAGTAAAGTGGAGAACTTGACCAAATACGTCCATTTGCAGGAGGTAGGCACATTTCAAATTATTATTTCGGTCAGAAAATATTAACTATTTACACCAAACCAGTGATAATATATTTAAATAAGTACCAATTATGTTTCTATCAAAAAGATTTAGGGAAAAAGGTAATGTAAGTCCACTGCTGTTTATCTGAAGTTGCAAGCCACAAATTAACGTTTAACTATGATTATTGCATGGTCATTTTCTTGTGAAATATTAGTGCTAGGCATTTCACACTTACCAATGACCACCCCGAAAAGTACCATCTCTGAACCATATAAGCACTTCAGAATAGCCAAAGCTTTTATGGTTTGGTAGATAGCAGTATGGCGAAAGCGTCGTTTTTGGGTGTGGTCAGTTTCGGACGTTTCGTCCCGGATTGGGGTTCGGGCAGCGTTACCATGTTGACCGTCATGGTCAACTTGCCCTAAAACAGTTGAGATTATCTGTCCTAAATGAAATGCATACAAACTCATATACAGGTCCTAGACTAACTTGAGAATGAGATGAAATATGACGATCCTGTAAACGTCATTCTTCATCACTCCAGCAGTACTTTTTAGAAAAACAATAAAAAGAGGTAAAAATGTCTGGTTAATTGATAGTTTATTATCTTACAGTAAGTCATAAGACATTTGAGTCCGTTATTCATAACATCAAGTTCATCAATATTTTATGATTGGAAAAATAGATTTGTATCATCTGAAATATTGTGAATTAAAATTTTGATGACGAATTTGGCATCTGATTTATATACAAAGGAATATAGTAATTGTCCAGGTGTTCAATCCTGTGGTACACCACATACGATAGTCTGAGACATTGACTTAGCATTTCCTAAACCAATCAAGAGGAATTCTAGCTCTTGTAACACATTTGTAAAGTTTCTTCAATAAAATATCATGATTTACGGTATGAAAAACTTTAGAAAAGTCAAGAAATACACCGCATGTAATGAATCCGTCATCAATTGCAGTTTTAAACTTGTCACTTATAGTTAAAGAATTGTTTGCTCAGTTGAATGATTTTTCTTAAATCCAAATTAATATCTAAATAATATATAAAGCTTCAATGCATGTTTATTCAAAAAATGACATAAGCTGGCCGTATGTAGTCCTTATACCAAGATTTATTAACTAAATGGTGATAATATAATGCATAACTTAGTAGTCCATGACTTACAGTAGCACAGCTGCGAGCACTCTCTCTGGTGACTGAACAGACTAATTCTCGATCGGTAGCCATTCCCACAGACCACACAAGTAATAACGAAATACCGAATGGTTTTCCGTGAAGGATTACGTGATCCAAGCAAGTGGGATTTTGCAAGACTTTCGGAAAGCGTATAAATACTCGAGCCGCAAACGCGAGTGTATTTTTACTCTTTCCGAAAGTCGAGCAACATCCCAAGTGCATGGATCACGCTATCCTGCTTGGAAAACCATTTGGTAATTGTTTTATAAAATAACTACAGTGAAAGAATTGAAACAATGACATTGTGAGAATCCGGCGAGGGCATTTTATTTTCTCGTACAGGATAGCCTGATTCTGCACGGCTATTGAACAGTCCAATTGCGCGTTACACTGTAGTTATTATATAAAGCTTGATTCTTCAGGTGCTGATGCTGCTGCCTTGGCAGCAGTTTCCTCTTTGCCCCCTTTGCTTCTGCTTCGACATTCAGTTTTTTCTCCCCCTGCTCGAATAGCCTGCATGGCTGCACGTCTTCCTCCACCTGCTACGATCTTCAGCAAGTGGTTCCCAGTTGTCGGTAGGTAGACCAATCGCTAGCATGTTTCTCTTGCAGACGTCCCCGAATCGAAGCGTACAGTAGATCTGCCAACAGGACTCGACCAAGTTTTAGCTCCCCATGCAAGATCCCTTGGGGATTCCCCCATCATCCATTCGGTAAGGAAAACTATTGTACAAATTTCCTAATGTCGTCGACATTATATCCGGAAACTTTGAAAATGAAAGTTTTTATCAAAATACACTTTGTTTTACCATTTGACAAATATAAAACATTTTCCGTGTTGATATGCAGTTATATCAACACGAGTTGAAATTTGGAAAAAGAGAAATTGTGTGGAAACTCGACGCCCGAAGGGCGGAGTGTTTTCACACAATTTCGAGTTTTCTCAATTTCCACGAGTTGTGATATAACTGCATGGTTGCAAGAAATAATTTAACACAAATGAAGGATACTTGCTTTCAGCAATAACAATGAGGTTAAAAATGTAAAAGAAAAACGCTATCTAAGTATCCAGTATAAATAAAGATAGCTTAATTTGGAAACTTACTTCAACTTAATTCTTCTGAAAATGTAAATCAACGAAGATAGGATACTATCCTTTGTCATTTACCTGCTGATTCAAAACTGTTCGTGAATCTGGATTGCCGAGGAACTGCGCCCAATCGTTGAGAATATCCTTGAAACATTTGTTGACTTTATCGTTGATAAAAGCCATGGTTCCCGAGGGTGTTGCCATGACATATTCGAGGAGGTGTTTGAGTGGTAGAACACCAAGCGTACTGTTATACTCAGGAGCCGCGGTAATGATGATTTCCATCTTTTTCAGCATATCCCTGTAGTCTGAGATTGGATTCACAGGATATTCTTCACCTGGATCTATGACAACTTTTTGAGTAAACATGGTCGTAAAGAGCATGTATACTTCTGGGTTAGTTTCAATCAGATCCTGTAAGGCTAGTAACGAAGGACGAGTAATTTTTACAGGACTATGCATTCTCCGAACATATTTGCTGATTGTTTTGAAGTCTGCAGTTACCCAGTTTCCAAGTTTATAGGTTTTCGTCATTTTTGTAAGGAATTGTCCTGAAAATATTGGAAAGGTGTAAATGTAAAATAAGCAAGTAGTGATGAATAATCCCCGAGCCATCCGTGATGAGCGCCGTTCCGGGCGTAAGCCCGGGGCGAGAGTAGTAATTCCCCCGGCTATTTACACCGGGGGAAACAAAAGCATTATAGAAGTCTAAAGTTCATCAATGATCGTGGGTGTGGGTCACTGTGCGTAGGTGGTCACCCTCACTGATCTCAAAAATATGGCGGACTGTCATGAATAGCGAACACTGATTGGTCAAATTTAAAATTGGCATTATAACGACTGAATGACGACAGCGAAGTAGCAATCAATTCTTGATTTGATGATTTCTTGCACATATATTTCATTTTTGCAAGATTTTGTGAATTTCAAAAACTTTTTAAGAAATAAAGGCGAAACGGAAACGGCTCAAAGAAGGGAGCAAAGGCGCCGACGTTACCGAAGGTAAGTTTTTTTTAAATATTAATGTATTGTTTGCTTTATAATTGTCGATCGTATGGTAGGTAGGCAGGTAGGTAGTACTTTATTTAAAATCAAACAGGAAGTAGAAAACGCTAGCCCCATCAACTCTAGCCTGGTTTCCATGGGGGTGTTTAAATCTTAAAAATCGTTAAAAAGAAAATTAAAGTAAATATTAATACACTAACATACTGTACGTACACATATGATATATACAAATAATTAGGAAGCATGTCGTTTTCCAACAATTGATTTAAATGACTGAAGCGACTCGGCCAATTTTGCTTCGTTTGGGAGTTGATTCCAGAGCATAGCGCTGCTATATTTAAAACTTTAAGACTATCTTTTTAAGAAATTCTCGTTTCGGCTTAGGAATTGTTAAGTCAGTTGCTGTATTTCGAAGATGATAATTAGTTTGGTCTATTTCTCTTCTCATGAAGGACTCCCGGAGACCCACGAGGTGCGGTCATTAAGTATGTTTTATACTCTAATACTGACTTGGTACTAGACCACCTATTTTCAAGTGTGTCCCTAGAAAGCATATTAGGAAGATCAGTTGAGCGAGTATCATCCATTAGGACTCTTGCTGAAATCTTTGTAACTTGTCTCTAAGCAACTTACCACAAGTGTCCCAAAGGGGGGAGCAATAATCAAAGTAGGGCTACACAAGACTTTTATAAATTGATTCTAAGGTATGCACTGGAACAAAGGACTTTATACGTTTCATAGCGCCAATAGCAGCGTTCGCCTTCTGGCCGATTTCATTTCAATGTGACTATCCCAATTAAGGTTTTCATCCAGTTTTACTCCTAGGCACATTTGTGTACCAGTTCGTAACATGGGTTTTGCGTTAGCCACAACGGTTCCTCATGCACACATTATATTATTAGGATTATACAGGGAGCCAATAAACATCATTTTACATTTTGATGGATGCATCTGTAGCCTATTTTCGTTACGCCAGTTACAGGCATGGGCAAGATCTGAATTTAAACTTACAACAAGTTAATTTGCATCGCCGGAAGGTGAAAAGATATGAGTATCATCCGCGTACATGCATGGGATTAGTTGATTTCAAACAATCGGGCAAATCATTAATATATAATAGGAATAGGAGTGGCCCCAGTATAGATCCCTGGGGCACTCCACAGGTGATAATTTTATTACTAGATAATTCCCCCATTAACATTGTATTGCTGTTCTCTCTTTGTTAAATATGACTCAAACCATTTTAATTCCATTTATTCATTCATTTTATTTACAAAATGCGATGGTTTATAGAGTCAAATGGCTTTTTGATATCTATGAACATGACCCCATTTAACGCATAAAGAAAACAAGACAGCATGTATTTTCAGTGTACCTTTACTGGTTACCCTTTTTTTATTATATTAAATTGTTTAAATAAAAAAGAAAGTAAAGTTATTTGCATGCAAAAATTTGAAATACTTTTATTTCAAACGCAAAGTTTATCGATAAGGGACCGCTCATTATTTATTGTACACGGGGGGACTGTATGAGGAGAAACTCTACAGTTATAATGTTGCCCCCTCTCTTAAGACAAGTAGAATTTTCAAAGATCCCTCCAACAGGCGAAACAAGAACATAAATATTGGAGCCCCCTCTTCTAGCTCTTTATTTAGAGAAACAAAAATAGATAATGAGGACCAATAGACAATTCCCATAATTATAAACTTATTTTCTATCTTAGCAAAAAGGTATATTCCCGGAAAGGGCATACTAAAATTAGTAAAATTGCAAAGTTTGGTTGTGCGAAATGTTGTAAAATGTGGAAAATATAGCCTTGCAAACTTCGCAAATTTTGTATACTTTTGTGTTGCGTGCGGAAATTGCTACCACATTTGGGCCGAGAATGCAGCATGAACTCCATATTTGAATTTATCGTATCGATAATTTTGGACGCGTGTTTAACAATTTACTCATATAGTAAATTCAATTTCCGCACGTAACAAAGCAGTACACAAAATGTGCAAACTTTGCAAGCCCCTTATTATGCTATATTTTCCGTATTTTACAACATCTCACAACCAAACTTTGCAATTTTACTCATTTTAGTATGCTCTTTGTAGCTCTTGTGATTTATTTGCATCTCTTTGCCTGGTTTTAAAATTAGTCCATAATGGGAATCATCTATCTGCATGAACATAAGAGACTATTTATTTGGCTTCCATTTATGAATATTAATATTAAATGTCTATATAATCATTGTTACTTGCTGTTAGTTTGTTTAGTGATACATTTTTAAAACTACTGTTTTTCAAACTAGCAAATCTTTTCAAAGCCCCTTCTTTCGTTTTAGAGTTTTACCCAAGTTGTGATAGGTTACTGTTTAACACAATGTCCGTGTATTCTATTGTTTAGAGTGGAACAAATGATGTCATCATTGAATCCATGGATGCATGGATGTTTGCTGGTCTAAACCTCCCACACAGATGATAGATTCTTTGCAGATCAAGATGATGTTGATAATTTTGTTGAACAGTATAGCAAGACTGCAAAAGAGGCACTGACTGTGAGTGCAAACTACCATACAGAAATATAAATTTTTTTTTGAAATAGTTTGTAAAATGTGATCACCACATTTGTGCAATGTAATACTGATAACTAAGTGTTTGCTATACATTTTTGGGTAAGCCTTTATTATGGCAGAAAAGTTTGCCTTAACTTGTAATGTAACTTGTTATTGAGTTTGTAAAGTGAACACATCCTGGAATTTAGTGAGAATTTCTGTCCTAAGTATTTGTGTTGTCATACACGTACATGCACTGTATACAGTACTACTACATTTTCCTTTAGCAATAATATGTCTAGTGAAAACCCAATGCTGTTATCAGACACGGCATTTTTAATTGGTTGTTTTCTTATTGTTCATCATATAGTTATCTGGATGAGGAACATAGTCATACCAGTGGCAAATCCAGCCATGGCAACTGGCCATGTGATGCAAATTAATTTTTAATTTTTAATTTTTAATTGCTTTTGCTTCTATTTTATCCATGATTGTAGTGAGTTTAAATCTGGTGAGGTAAATAATATTTTGAGGAAAAGGGAAGAAATAATCGTTTTGATGAAAAAGGAGTGTTTGGCAGAGTGTGCAGAGTGTGCAGACATGAATATCCCAAAGGATTCATCAGCATTAATATAAACATGGAGAAAGTTCCGTTGTTATTAATGTATATTTATATTGTATTTATACACTAATTTATTATATAGTAGGCAGTGAGATAGTGGGAAATACACAGTGAGACATTTTCCATACAGTATTTTCACTAGTGAAGATATCGATTACATGATAATATTCCACAAATTACATTTATACATGTATGTTCATGTTCCAATGATTATTTTACACTAATTACACTTTTTCTATTTGATAGGATTGCATATTCTGTATATGAGGTTGAACGTGTTTTGACTCATTGTGATGAGAGTGCTGATGTCAAAGTTACATATCACATGGGTTGTACATTGTCAGCTCACTTGAAGGTAGGAAAAATGTCCAGTGTATGTTATTGTTGGTACTTTAGGGTTGAAAAAAGGAGCTACACAAACTAAGCAATTAATATGTTTTTCAGAGAAATGACAGACAAGATATGCTTGCCAGGATTGATTTTGCTATCCCTGTGTTCCACTGTTATGGCCATAAATCTTCTTACAGACTGCAGTGATTATGCTAATTATCACAGTCTGTGAAAATTCGTGGCATTTCTTGTCGACCTCCAGCTTCGCTACCCAGATCTGGGTAGTTGATTCTCATTGATTATAGTTAAACTCACTAGATTCTGATTGGCTGAGTTCAAAGTTCAACAAAGTTCTGACTTTTAATGTAGCCTAAATAAATCGTATCAGGCAAAAGAATTGCCGTAATTTTCAACTCCTTGTTCGCATTTCATTTGTTCAATTGGACATCATATCAATTGACATAAACTTTATATTTAATAGTTACCGGGTTGGGTTGCTGTGGCACCTGAGCCCGCGTTAGTCATTGGTCATTTTAGTGTCGGCCATTTTGTTCATTGTAAAACGTATTAAGTTTATAGCTAGCTTTAAGTAGGATAAAGCCATGCAATTAGTATGGTTTTTCATTTCTATTATTACTTTATAATTACGACATCGATCTGCCATACATCCGAAACATTTTTGCATCGAAAATTTAGTAGTTCGAAGCATAGAGAGAAGTAAAATTTACAATGAACATCAAGTGTGAACAAAATATTATTTCGATTTGAAAATCAAAGTCAAACGGTCGTTGATATTTAAGTCCAGCCAATCAGAATCATTAATTAAGTTTATTCTTGACCAGTCAGAATCAACTACCAAGTTCTGGGTAGCGCAGCTGGGGGTCGAAAAGAAATGCCACGAATTTTGAGTCAATTTTCACAGACTGTGATATAGCATAATCACAGTGTGTGCACAGGTTTGTAGCAGAGTTTAATTTTTTATATTTCTGCATATTGGCAAATACCCTGCAACAACTGAATATATCCAAGTTATATCGTTTCCGTTGCTGCCTGCCACCGTTGCTGCCTGCCAAAGTCGGAGAAGAGGTTGATATACCTATTTATTTCATTGAAGATTTCAAGATTGTATTTATATCTGTTATACAGTACATGTACAACATATATAATGTAGCTATCTCAATACCTCAAATGCTCAATATTTACGTGTATACAGCTATTTCAATTAAGGTTGTCCACGAGCAAAGCGAAAAAGTCGAACACGAGCGCGAAAAGCTGCTGGGAATCGCTATAAAAATTCATTCAATTTTTAGCGATTCCCAGCAGCCTTTTGCGCTCGTGTTCGACTTTTACGCTTTGCTCGTGGACAACCTTAAAAAAAAATAACTGTATACGAGTTTGATCATTCTCTATGCGATATTGAGCACTCTCTGACATTCTTACATGACATTTGACTGTTAATGTAATAGTGATTTTACACGTTCATGCTTCTTCTCTCCTAAAAATACACTTTAGTTACAGTATACAGTTGCTAATATATGTGTCTTTAAGCTACTTAATGCAGATATGTTTGCGTAGCATATCCAGTTGCTATGACCAGCTTCACTACTGTAACAGTCTACACGTATACTATAGATTATGCTAACAGGCAGCACTTTTATGTCTTATAGATAGCCTTTGCCCCAGAAGGAAGAAAGGGTATGGTCTCACCGATGGCGAAGGCATAGAAAGGTTATGGTCCTTTTTAAGATGTTTTTCTTCCATGACAAAAGAAATGACTGCTGTTCGGCGAATCGACATTCTGACGAACGCTCTACTGCATTACGCCCAACGTCGTGTGCAACAATTTGGTTAGCAAATATTATATTTTGTATGTATTTCTATCGTGAATCCCCACTCATAGTAATATTTGAATGTTTACTTTCTCGTCGCAGGACCATCGTAAGTTGGTTTCAAAAATGAAAAAAGCTCACAAACTTTTGGACAATGCAATGTTACAAATGCAAGAAATATTTTCCAATTTAGCAGGTGTGTTGTAGCGATAACGGTTATTTAGTGTCTTCTTAAAACCTTTAAAAAGTTTCCGCTTCATGTGTATAAAGATGCGAAATACATTATGTACGTAAGCGATGATTGCATAGACGAGGTTAGATGTTGGTTACACGAGAAAGTAAGCTAACAAAAGGTTCAGACCAAACATACCTGCAGTATAACATAGTCGCTTCGACGTTCTTTATCTTTGCAATTAATTGTACATTTTTAAAGTAATATTTAATATAATTCATAAAGTATAAAAACATTTAAATAATACTTTTAAAAAATATTTAAAATATTTCATTATAGATGCATTATCACCAAACATCCACTGTGGTTAATTTGCATATAATACTGCGTATGTGTTATGTTGTAGGCAAGAAAGGCTTACCGTTATCGTGGGAAGCAAAATATGTGCAGAATTTGTTTCATTTTCAAGAACTATAGGTAAAGCAAGGTGGTTGTAAAATTTAAAAACCAGTGTAAACATAAGGTAGCTCTTATACCGTCGATTGCAACTAAGCGGAGACACCTCATGAGAAAACGCGATCTAATTGGACATGAAACACAACATGTTTGGACTTCAACTTTACATGATTTTGCTGGAAACATTTGACGTTTTACAATTATTTTTCCCGCGAAAACGTAATAAAGTTAGTGCAAACATTGCAAACAATAACTTAATCAGTAAAATCATGCGATGTTTGAAGTTCAAACAAATCATGTTTGACAGCCAATTGGATCGCGTTTTCTCATGACATGTTTCTGCTTACTGCTTAGTTGCAATCGACGGTATTCATACAATCATCACAGTGATTATTTAATTTTATCCCCGAGCCGGCGGCGCGAAGCGTCGTGCGAGGGTACTAATTTCCCCCGGCTATTTACACCCGGGGAAACGAAAGCATTAGCCAAGTCTAAAGTTCATCAAATATCGCGGGCGTGGGTCACTGTGCGTGGGTGGTCATCCTCACTGATCTCAAAAAGATGGCGGACTGTCATGGATAGCGAACGCTGATTGGTCAAATTTAAAATTTGTTGTTGTATGACAAATAACGACTTCAACTGACAGATACTTCATGAAAATAATTTGCTTTTTGCACTGCAGTATCTTGTACGTTTGCAAAAAACCTTGACAGCTTTCAAAGCAATTTGCTCTATAAAGAGTTTAATAAAACAATTATGGTATCAAATACCAATTATAAAAAAATGGACTACTGTATGGAGCCAAATGAAGAGCGGCAAGGAAACGACAAGAAAGCCGAACGTCTCGCGAAAAGGAGGGAGCCAGCGAAGACGACAACGTTTGCTCGAGGAGACTGCTGAGGAAAGAGAAGCTCGCCTGGGAAAGCGTAGAGAAGTATGGAAAAAAAGACTGCTGAAGCGAAAGGTATTAAAGCAAAGGCTTGTCTTCACAACGCTATGTACCAATGATACTGTAGCTATACAAGTTTAAGTATGATATTCGACCCTCTATATTCGACTATTTCTTCACAATTTTCCAATAAAGAGTTTGTCATGACACGCTCAAGTCAGTATAACCAGACTGTATTTTATTTATATCAGTTATCAAATACCGTCGGTGGCAACTAAGGGTGAACAGTTGCAGATAAAACATTCTCTATTCTCATTAAAAAGCCTGTAAAAGTTTCCAGTAGGTCTCTAGCCCAACAAGTACAGACAAAGTTTTGTTACTTATTTTTATTGCACACATGGGAAAAAACAATTAAGTGTTGTTGTTCTTGACAAACATTGAAGATTCTAATCACGCGAATGTTTTTATCAGCGACTGTTCATCGTTAGTTGCAAACGACGGTACAACATACTATAAACATTTTTCCGACTGTGACCGAATGTGCAACGATATATTTTTCAAAGTTGTTAACAATTCCTAAAATTTGTTTATAGTAAAACAGCCTGCTCAGCACTCACTACTCACGATGATTTCATTTAGAAATGCAGTTACCAGGAAAGGAACTGATTCTAAAATATGTAAAATTAAAAGCATTGGCTATTACGATGTGAAGACAAGGTACAAACTTTTATAGTTGCTATTTGTTATAAATCCTATAAATAAACCGATTCAACAATAATTTTGCCTCGAATTTGCATATTCTATGCTGCATGTTTATATTTTATTTTTATAGTATAAAAATAAAATTGTAATACTATGAAATAAAATACATTTCTGTTTATTGACCAGTACTTATTTAATGTCTTCTTCATCCAGCGGTCAGAGTAAATTTCTACTTCTAGCAAGTAAATATTTGACAAGCAGTCTGGAATAAGCACAGGACTTTTAATGCATCAGCCAAATCCAAGTGTGCCCATCCCCCTCGCCCAGCCATTTTCCTGTAAAGCACATCCAGGGGGTTGGGCATTTCCACTCGAACCTTAGCCCCGGCGGGGCATTTGAAATTAATAATTTGGATTCTTTCACTTCACTTGTGGAATTAATATTAGAATGTTAGGGTTTGCAATCCAAGTGAGAATATATACATGTATATATTTTGTAATCCAAGTGAGAATATTTTGTAATCCAAGTGAGAATATACAAATGTACCGGTATAGTACATGTATATATTTGGTGTATATATTTTGTAATCCAAATGAGAATAGTTTGTAATCCAAGTGAGAATATGCAAATGTATATATTCTCACTTGGATTACAAACCCTAACATTCTAATTTTAATTCCACCAAGTGAAGTGCAAGAATCCAAATTATTGAAGTCCACCTTATCATAACCCGCACACCCGATTACTTAAATATACATGAACTTACGGTTAAAGCTCAACAGCTGACCTCTGTAGCTCAGTTGGTTAGAGCGCTGCACCGGAATCGCAGGGCAGTAGGTTCAATTCCTACCAGAGGACCTTGTGCTGCATTTTTCGCAGTCGTTCCTGGTTAGGTCTTAAAATGTATATATTCTCACTTGGATTACAAACCCTAACATTCTAATATTAATTCCAACAAGTGAAGTGCAAGAATCCAAATTATTGAAGTCCACCTTATCATAACCCGCACACCCGATTACCTAAATATACATGAACTTACGGTTAAAGCTCAACAGCTGGCCTCTGTAGCTCAGTTGGTTAGAGCGCTGCACCGGAATCGCAGGGTCGTAGGTTCAATTCCTACCAGAGGACCTTGTGCTGCATTTTTCGCAGTCGTTCCTGGTTAGGTCTTAAAATGTATATATTCTCACTTGGATTACAAACCCTAACATTCTAATATTAAGTCCACCAAGTGAAGTGCAAGAATCCAAATTATTGAAGTCCACCTTATAACCCGCACACCCTATTACCTAAATATACATGAACTTATGGTTAAAGCTCAACAGCTGGCATCTGTAGCTCAGTTGGTTAGAGCGCTGCACCGGAATCGCAGGGCCGTAGGTTCAATTCCTACCAGAGGACCTTGTGCTGCATTTTTCGCAGTCGATCCTGGTTAGGTCTTAAAATGTATATTTTCTCACTTGGATTACAAACCCTAACATTCTAATATTAAGTCCACCAAGTGAAGTGCAAGAATCCAAATTATTGAAGTCCACCTTATCATAACCCGCACACCCGATTACTTAAATATACATGAACTTACGGTTAAAGCTCAACAGCTGGCCTCTGTAGCTCAGTTGGTTAGAGCGCTGCACCGGAATCGCAGGGCCGTAGGTTCAATTCCTACCAGAGGACCTTGTGCTGCATTTTTCGCAGTCGTTCCTGGTTAGGTCTTAAAATGTATATATTCTCACTTGGATTACAAACCCTAACATTCTAATATTAAGTCCACCAAGTGAAGTGCAAGAATCCAAATTATTGAAGTCCACCTTATCATAACCCGCACACCCGATTACTTAAATATACATGAACTTACGGTTAAAGCTCAACAGCTGGCCTCTGTAGCTCAGTTGGTTAGAGCGCTGCACCGGAATCGCAGGGCCGTAGGTTCAATTCCTACCAGAGGACCTTGTGCTGCATTTTTCGCAGTCGATCCTGGTTAGGTCTGAAAATGTATATATTCTCACTTGGATTACAAACCCTAACATTCTAATATTAAGTCCACCAAGTGAAGTGCAAGAATCCAAATTATTGAAGTCCACCTTATCATAACCCGCACACCCGATTACTTAAATATACATGAACTTACGGTTAAAGCTCAACAGCTGGCCTCTGTAGCTCAGTTGGTTAGAGCGCTGCACCGGAATCGCAGGGCAGTAGGTTCAATTCCTACCAGAGGACCTTGTGCTGCATTTTTCGCAGTCGTTCCTGGTTAGGTCTTAAAATGTATATATTCTCACTTGGATTACAAACCCTAACATTCTAATATTAAGTCCACCAAGTGAAGTGCAAGAATCCAAATTATTGAAGTCCACCTTATCATAACCCGCACACCCGATTACTTAAATATACATGAACTTACGGTTAAAGCTCAACAGCTGGCCTCTGTAGCTCAGTTGGTTAGAGCGCTGCACCGGAATCGCAGGGCCGTAGGTTCAATTCCTACCAGAGGACCTTGTGCTGCATTTTTCGCAGTCGTTCCTGGTTAGGTCTTAAAATGTATATATTCTCACTTAAAATGTATATATTACAAACCCTAACATTCTAACCCTAACATTCTAACATTTGAAATTAAGGATTTGGAGGTTTTGCGATCACCGACAACTTGATAATTTTATAAAACAAAACACTTCTATCTCCAACTTTTACAATCACTGATAAATTGATAATAATTTAAACCAGTCTAGCTGTAGTTTAAATAGAGAATAATACATGGGTGCACGAAATACCAGATTTATTTCGAGTGTTGAACATGAGTGAACAAGTGAGCGCAGCGAACAAGTGAGCGCAGCGAACAAGTGAGCGCAGCGAACGAGTGAGATGTCATGTTCAACACAAAAAATAAATCTGGTATTTCCAACCACCCATGTATTTTTCTGTTTATTATATAAAGGACAGTCTTAAATGAAAAGCGATAATGTTTACAGAAAAGCGATAATTGAAAAGGCGATAAATTTTTACATGTGAGATTATCATGAATAATTTCACATCTGAGATTATCATTTTTGTCAGTGCTCGAAAACTCTGTAAAACACTATACTTTATATAATAAAAATTCATAAATTTGAACCATGCTAGAGCATGACAACAGCAAAATGCTCTATAGTATGATGCACAATATTTTGGGAGGTGATCGAAATACACGAACAATAAATCAGAGAGTGTTTGCTTGGAACTCACTGGGGGGGGGGGGGGGGGGTGCAACACCCCTGATTATTGCTCATGATGAATTTCAGGTAGATTTCCAGTGCACTTTTAGTACGTACATTTAAGTAGATTTGCAGAAGATTTTCAGGGGAATTCAGGTAATTCTCAGGACATGACTGAGAAAGTGAATTTGGAAAACAAGTGTATTTTCGGAAAAATTATTATATGTCCTGAAAATTTTTTGTACATCTGGAAACTTTTTGGTAACCCCCCCCCCTCTATCTAACCACACACACACCCTGCGACGAAGTGCTCGCAACGGCACTGAGTATATATCTTTTGAAAACAGGCGAGGGGTTATTGCATGCATGTATTTCTAGTATAGGCTTAATATTGCTGCTATAGAGCCCAATAACCACGATGGTTTAAATAAACTTGTTCGAAAAACAAAAGCATAAGTTATTAAATTGCAAGTTAGCAAGTAATAAATTTACTAGGATGCGTGTGCATAGACTGTGATATACAGCATAATCACAGTCTGTGCACAGGCTATAAATTTACATGCACTATCATTTAATTTCCTAACAAAAGTAATCTTTAGTGTTTTAAAAATTATTGCGTCAACTGAAAGGGTCCACAAGGTACAAGAAAGATGGAAAGTAGGAGAAGAGAATTTTAATTCAGCCGCACATTGTATTGAGCGAGGGAGAAGAAACCGCGTAATGGAACGAATATATGCCATGGCCGTCGAACGAATGTTCCTGATATCACTGAAGCGAAAATATGCAGGCATGTGACTTTAAATATGTTTAGGTTTTCGTGCGTAAATGTATAATGCATATTTATACCAACAGAAAAAAAATGCTTACGTTTCACGCATTTGAGATGTCTCTATGTTGTCTTTAATCATGTGCAGCATTGCGCGTAATCGTAATGTACTGTAAATTGTAATTTCCATTTCGTGTAGATGGTCAAGCAATAGCAGGGAAACTATCCAAACAAATCACACAAAGGACCAATGCAATACGACTTACTGTCGAGAAATATAACGCTGCGCTCGCATCTTGGAAAGATCGAGTTGAAGGACTACCGGAAGAGATCGACTTTGACAACATGAAAGATCCGAGTCAAGCATTTTCCATCAATTTCAAATAAATGTGTCTGACCAAGAACAATTGCCATTCTCTGTAAAAAGAACCATCATTGACTTGCATCACTTCATCGAAAGATGTAAAGAAGAGATGATATACTTGAATTCTGAAATGCTGCGGCTGATACAACATCACAACAACCAGAAAGCGAAGTATCAAGAATTTCTTGATGGACATGCAGCAGGGGTGGAAAAAATATTTTATTTTCTGGGACCACAACGAATTAAAAGTGGAAAATTTTCTGGGAGTTGTTGACACAAATCCTGTATAACTTAAATTAATTAAAGGCTCACTTGTAAAGAGAGCTAATAAGATTTAAGAATGGTTAAATAACCATAGTAGTCTACGACCTGTATATGAGTTTGTATGCGTTTAATTTCATTTAGCACAGGTAATCTCAACTGTTTTAAGGAAAAATGACCATGGCGGTCAACATGGCATATGTACCAAAACCTGAATCCGGGACGAAAGTCCTGAAAATGAGCCCGCCATGAAACAGCAGTGTCGACATAGCTCTAACTTCCGAAAGCAAAAAGCGATAGTCTTTCTGAAGTTCTTATAGTGTTTAGAAGGGTTGCTTTTAGGGGTGGTCATTGGAAGAAAAAAATTGTCTAAGTATAATATTTTACAATAAAATGACCATGCACCACCCCAGGTAAATTGCTAATTATGCATAAAATAACTAATATGCCTGGCAGAAATGAAATATTCTTATTTCCTAAAAAAAAATTATCATGGGGTGAAAAACTATGCTTAATTTAATATAAATATTGTTGATATCATTAGGATTGTCATTGTTTTCATTAAATATAATACATTTTATTCCACTTACCCCCCACGAAAACACCGTCTTGTTTGCTTTTTATCGCCGAATCTGGCAAATATCATCCAGTTGTTGTATTTTACATAATTATAAATGGCTGAAGAAGATTTCAAAGAAGGTTTCATCAAGTTTTGAAACAGTGCAGTGTATTTTATCTTCGATATTGTGTCCTTCGATATTTCGTCAAATTGCCGCCATTTTAACGGCTCGCCGCTTCTTTCCCCGATAAATGCCACTTCTTCGTTTTCATATGTATTTAGACTACCTTATCCAAGAGTACTTCATTTTAGAATAGTCTCAATCCAAAAATTGAAAACATTATTTGTACTTGGGAGGAAAAAACCTCCCATAATAGTTGTCCTGTCAGAATTCAAAATAAATAATTTAAAAGTCATGCGCAATTTCGCGAAAACACCTCGTGGGCTACATAACAGGGGGGGGGTTGAATATTTATTATTTATAGACCCGGAGCGAGGGGGATTCTGCGTAATATTTCCCGAAGTGATGATATTTTTCGAGGGGCTTTGCCCGGAGGAAAATATCATCACTGACGGAAATATCGCCGAATCTCCCGACCGGAGGGTGTACTCTCTTAATTCTAAAGATTGAAAATTTCAATCTTTCAACTGATTAGAAAAAAAATCAATCTACTAGATTGATTTTAGATTGAAAAGTTTGGAGTCAGTGGGCCGTTCGATTGAAATTAGTCAATCAATTAGAACCACTGTAAATTTTTTCAATCTTTAAAGATTTAAAGTTCTTAGCCAATCATATTGCAAAATAATCGCGCGAGCGGGAAGCGAGGACCAATGAGAGGAAGAAAAAGCTTTTGTCTAGCATTCTGTGGCATAGCTTCTTCAACTAAGGCGCCGACCGTGATGGGTGAAAAAGGAGACAGAATGCGAGATATTTTAGAAAAAGAAGGATTTTCAGAGGAGATTATCGCAAAGTTGGAAGGTTAGTGATCCTCTTTTATGTATATCGCTTTTTATGCTATATTTTTGACATGTGTATACGCTAGCGTATTTTCAAAGGCTGATTTAATATTGTCCTATGCCTCACAACGCGAAGTGAGAAATATGAAAACTGCTTGGATCTGACGAGAACTTTTCTCACCAAAAAAACATGAAATATGCAAAATTGTGTGTCTTTTGTCATTAATAAAGCAATGAACGAACATCTGGAAATTGGAATTGATAGTATTTTCATGTGAAGTAATCCCCAATCTTAAAAAAATTCTTCAGATCTAAGGAAACGTAAGTGAATCGAGATTTGACGTCGCCATTTTCCTTCACAGCACAACGACAACACCTTCTTGTTGCATTTTGCAGTGCCTCTTCAAGCTTCATTTCGCACAACATATGCATCCTTTCCTGGTTTTCTGCATTCAACTAAAAGTTGAAATGATTATTCGGAAGTAGGTCAGGCCTATAAATTAGACTATCGAGCAAAAAAAGTTTAAAATGCAGCACTCGCGACCTCGAAGGAACCTGCTGTCGTGCGGAGTGCTTCAGCCAGGCTGCAACTCTTCATGTCCGCATGCGAAAATTGATCCGTGTCGTTCTGTGTGAAGCAAAAAGGAATGGCACAAATAATTTTTACTCAACTTAACTATAAAATTGTATGGTTAATATTCAAAAGTTCTTGAAGGTTACGAAGCTTATCACAAAAAGTCAAAAAACTAATACTGTAATAGTCCGTACTTTTGTGTTTCGGAGCGCTATTTTTCGGTAACAATGAAAAGAAACTAACTTTCGTGTCTTTGTCATTGTGATTTCTGTTATTTGAAATCTCATTTTGCTTGCTCTTCATGCTGAAAAAATCAAATGTTGTAATGATATACTTAATAATTAATATTGTTTAAATGCACTAAATATCATTCGTCCAGTTGGATGTGTCTGCGATGCATTGATTGGTTTATGTTGTTTAAGTCCTGCGAAATGACGTATGAACGGAACGTGTTTAAACACGATTTTGTTTTAAATTAAAACGTGATTAATAACTCTATTTTGCATAATAAAGATGGCTGCCAGAACCCACGACTGACTGAGATGTATTTTAATGTAATAAAACGAGGAAACATGTATTTGATGTATTAAAATATAGACAGGAACAAAGTCAGCTGGAAATATGATTCATGATAGTTTTTCTCCTTATCAAAAGATGGCCTTTTATGTTTAATACCTCGATGTTTACAGATTGTGATCTTGCAAAGGTACAGGACAGGACAGAGTACATTAATAAATACTGCAACAATGCCAACAATGTCTTGGTCAAAAGTTTAAACTGCCAAAAATATTGCTACTAAATTCAACCGTTGGGCAAATGTATATGTCTGACAGTATTGGGGTCTACTGAATGTATAATTATATTTGCTGTTGCAAAGTTTGATTCGCATATTATAGCTCAAAAGTTAAAACTGGCGTTCACATTTTTGAACCACAATGCTAGGTTGAGATAATACTGTTGTTGTTGCACTGAGTCATTCTGCTGCAGTACTGCTTATACATGCAATTGAAACGTTGAAAACTTGTGTAAATAATTGAAAACTTTCATCAGTAACCAATTTTATACCACAAACAAACATTCTGTTAATCAGATTCAATCTGTATCACTGTCTCTCAGATCAAATTGTTTGGCCTTGCATCAGTGATCAGTACAACAATTAGCAGTAAAATAACAATAAGTGTTATAGGGAATATTGTGACTTTATAACATGACAACACTAGTCCAATTGAGAGACTGATGCCAGAAAAACCCATGAATACTATACTTACATGGTTTGACCTCGGCAAGTGCACTCTGTAGCTGAGTTGGTTGCAACGCTGCACCGGTATTGCAAGGCCACTGGTTCAAATCCTGCAAGAGGGTCTTAATAGTTGCATTTTTTCAACTGCTCCTGGTTAGGTATATAAAATGTATAAAATTTGCACATGTATATATATATCCATCTACAACCCTGCAACATTAGTCCTTTTGAGTGATATGCCAGAAGAAAATCATGAATTTTACAATTATATCTTACCATGGCATTTAACCTATACAGTATTACATGACCTTGTGGGGTGGAGCTTGACAACTGCAATTTGTACGTACCTCAGTTGGTTCTAGGTGTTATATAGTCACGCCGCAGGTTCAATTCCTGCCAGAGGGCCTATAGTTGCATTTTTTGCAACTGCTCAAAAAATTTGCACTTGGTATTTCCATCTATACAACCCGGCAACACTAGTAGTAGTAGTAGAACTTTATTTATCCACGCTGACCCTGTCAACAGTAGCTGATTTCCACGGGGAGGGGGGGGGGTGTGTTAATTCATGCGTTAATTCATTCAAAAAACAAATCATGAATATTACACTTATATCTTGTGCACCAGTCAGTGGAATGCCCCGCACCCCCCTACCCGGGGAATAGCGGGGAATTATTGAGCGATTGAACCTTACATTCGGCCACGGTACACAGGGATTTAGACTGTATTAGTTATGTGTATCAGGTACCGGGGACTTTGGTGGGGCTTATATCAGGGATTAGACATAGCCGCCATCTTGAAAACGAGAAAGGACTTGGAATGAGCAATGAAATTGAACTGATAATTTTGCGAATGAATTACTGACAATCTCTTGTGTTATTTGGTCACCGTTTTATTTTCTTGAAAGTTATTGTAAACCGTTTAGATGTTCCATTTTTTTAAGCATTCAGTATATAGACCATAGATATGACTTAAATTTTAAGTAAAAAGGGAAAGGCCCAGTTTTTAGGGGCCCCGAACAATGAGCAAAACCAAATCGAACTGAAAAGAATCCAGTTTAATTTAATAGATGTGCGAAAATAAGTACGAATAAGGTAGTATTTATCAAATACAGTTGGTCTATTTCCTTTAGATTGATATTCTTTTTAGATATTGTATGTTTGGCCCGGAGAGCGGGGACATTATTTGCGTTTAGGCAAGTGAGAGTGGCCCGTATAACGGGGAGTTAGACTGAATTAGAGCAAGGTCTTGGTCTAATGCCCCGCTGTTCCCCGGGTAGGGGAGTGCGGGGTATTCCACTGACTGGTGCATTACCATGGCATTACCTTGCCTATACAGTATACTGTAAACCTCAGACTAAACGCCC